ATTGAGGAATGTTGTTTTGCGCCCATTAGATATTTATAATTCATTTTAATAAAATAACTTCTTTGTTCCAGGGACCTGAATTATTCATGATTTTGCTGAGTTCTTTCCTGTTGCAGCGTCTCACAAAGCAGCCCCTGACGTTTGACTTTCTAAACAACTTAAGTGATTCCAAACTCTCTTTCGCAAAGAGAAACGGATGTCAGAACTGAGGTCAATAAAGAAATGCTTGCTTCCCCCGACACGCGCTCACGCTTCAGAAGGCGGGTCCAGACCCCAGACCAAGAAGTCGGATTGTTCCTCTGCCTGGTGGGCAAGATTGCTGCCTCTAACCTCCGGTGGCGCTGGGTCCCCAGTGCCAGGCACACGCACGCACGCGCACAGACACGCAGACACACCCTCTAAACCAACCGTCGGCTCCCAGCTTTGAGCTTCTGCCGGCAGGAAAGATTAGGAACGCAAAAATCCAAGACTTCTCTTCCTCGCAGGCTACCCTGAACCCCCACCCCCTGGTTCCCAGTCTGACGCTTTTCCTCCCATTAGAGACGTTCCGTGTAGAAAAACAAAGTTACTTCGGAGTAGCCGGTCTTCTCAGCACTGCTGCTGTGTAATACACTCACTCTGGTGTAAACCTCTTCCTAGTTCTGGGTTTGGTTTTCTCCTTTATGAAATGAGAGGAACTGATAAACATTTCTAGTGCTCTGGTAGCTCAGAATTTCTATTTTTTTAAATCCCTTTTGTCCAGGCTGTCATGCTACAATATTAGTGCTTTTTTCTTCTGAATTTGTTGTTTTGGGGGACGGTAAATCTCCAGACAGTCTCTCCCTTTGAATGAAACACAGTTTTGACAAGGCCTTCTCAGCATCTTGACTGCCTGTCTCCTATTCAACATGATAAACTATATCTACACTGTTGGATGTAATATCTTCAAGCAATTGAATAAGCCTTGTTAATAATGTCACAGTAAGCTAGAATAGTGGCAATCCATTCCCCTCCCCCAGCCCCACACCCACCATCA